TGTTGTCTGCTCAGGTACCAGTGCTCCTCCTTCCTAACAACCCATACATTTTTATAGATTTTTCACTTATTTTTCGTATATTACGATCTGTTAGAAGTTTATGTTTTTCTGTGAGGTCAACTTGAAAACGCTTGCTGACCCCACCAGTTGCTGCAGTGCTGCAGCACTGCAGTGACAGGGCAGCACAGCAGTCCCTAGTGCTGGGGTAAAGCCTTTTAATGTTCCTGGAATCCACTTGTTCTTCATATTGTTTTTTTTTCTTCATCTGTTAACAGATGCAATTTACACTACCTATGCTCCCCCAGCATTCTTGACTACTCCAGGTATGTTTGCATTCTTCATCTTTTCTATAGACTGCTTTTGAGTTGTACTAGTTACTAGTTTTTACTCTGAGGTTTTCATTTTCATATTTCTATGGAGCCAGAAATAGTCATCAACCATACTAGCAGGTTAAATTGTCCGTATTGCTTCTTTATGACTTTGTGATTCTCCTGCCTGAGATCTATTTTAGGAAGAAATAGTTTTTGTCGGAAATCTTTTTCCTCTTTTTCTCTGGACTTTATGCTATTTGTCCCAAACTTTCTATTTTTTTCTTGCCTGAAGCCTGCCAAATGCAAGGGAGCAAGCAAGAGTTGGATTTCTCTGACTAACTCTTCTCTCTCTGTATAGTCATTTGCTCAGAGAAAAAAAAAACTAACATTTTCACACCTATATCCTTTTCTCTTTCTTTATTTTTATCTTTTTTTTTTCAGCCAGAAAATATTTTTGTGGTGGCTTACTTTTGAATTCTTCTGGAACACTTCAGAGCCCTTTTTATCCTTCAAATTATTATGATAAGGCAGACTGTCTGTGGGAAATACAAGTAGCAAGTAACTTCCTTGTTGTTCTCACATTTAGAAGTGTTCAGTAAGTAAAATTCTTGTTGCTTGGGTAATAAATGGGACAAAAAATTCAACTGCAAGCACATTTCCTAACCACATTTTTAATTCTTCCAAGTGAATAAGAAAGATTACCTGGAAATTGTCTGAGTGCGGTATCTTAGTTTACTGCTTGTTCAGCATTTACAAACTGGAGTTTATAAAGCATGTTTTATTGTATATTCATGTTAATCTCTCAGGTTTCAAGGTGGATGCCAGAACAGCTACATTGAAATCTATGATGGGCCACCCAATACTTCTCCCCTGCTTGGAAGAGTTTGTTCTGGTTCTTATGTTACATATACATCATCCTCAAATCTCATGACTGTTAGATTTCGCAGTAATGCCAGATATTCAAGCAAGCGTTTTTTCGCTGAATATCACTCTATTCCAGCAGACGATAATACCAGTAAGTCCCCATTCAGTTTATAATATTTTCTGTATTAAGTATTTGTTAATGTTAGTGAATGATTTCACATAGATGACATTCCTACTTGAATTTAATAACTGATTATTAACGAGTAATTTCCAGACAATATATTTTTTTGCATTTTAAGACCTTCAGATACCAAACTAATTGTTTTTAGACATTTTCTATAATTGACAGCCTAAATTCACCTTTCTTCTCATCACAACATTATTCTTTTTTTTTCCACTCTTATGGCCAGTTTTTCACAGAATCATATTAATACTGATGAGAAAGACCTGGAGGTCTCCTAGTCCAGCCACTCAAAGTGGGGCTTCTCCCAACATTAGATCCTACTTGCCATGAATTTATCTAGAAATCCTCTAAGTAAGTGTGGTTGCACACTTCTCTGGGTGACCTAATCCAGTAGTGTCCTGCAATCCTCGTAAAGAAGTTTAATCTGGTTTATCTGCACTCAGGACTTTTCAAGGGACAAATTGTGGACATCAATCTGTGTTATATCTTCTGCTGTCACATTTAGCTCCATTTTGTTTGTATTTGCCCTTTAAGTGCCTGTGTGCTACCAGTAGCTGCTCTCGCCAAATACTTATCTCTACTAAAGGACAAACTCTCTTGCGGTTCATGACATGGAGCTATGTCAAGGCATTCAGGGAACCATCATGAAGATGTTCCTAGATCCCCTCCTGTACAAATAGTGCTTTTCTCTAAATCCTTTTTATTAGTATTCAGGAAAAACTCTCACTTCTTAGCGTTTTTTACATGAGTCGTGATACAGGATTGAGTTCTCAGCAAAGGCCTGTTGCAGTCTAACTAATTTTGCCAAAAGAGTGACTGTACATTAGTTGAAGTTTGTCAGAGCTTAATGCTTGTTTATGTCTAAGCATACAGTATGGAAATAAGTGGTTTTCTTATTAATCTGCCCTCCCCAAATGGTAGTAGCTGTTGTATTTGGCAATGTTGAAATATCTAAGCATTATCAAGTACCCAAATTCATTATTAATTCGTATTTTCTTCACTAGCCCTTGTGTGCTTGCCAACCTACATGCATGTAGTTGTAAAGAGAGCCTTTCTCCAGGCACAAGGCTACTCTGTGGAAAACGTCATCTTATCTAATGGTTTCTGCAGACCAACAATTACTTCAAGCCAGGTTATATTCAACATTCCATACAATGGCTGTGGCACACAAAGACAGGTTAGTGTCATGTATTTTGGAGCTCTGTCCAAGTAAGGGAAACTTAAGGGACATTTGGAAAATGATCATGCATTGCATGGGGCATTGGAGTCCATAGGGATTCAAAACACAGAAAAGAAGAATGTGTTTCTGAAAGCTAAATTCTTTAAACATTCCTAACTTAAAATTTCTCGTCCTTGACAGTAATATGCATAACCATTTCATAGTGATGTTCTAGAGAACAAACTGTAGGATGGAGTTGAGTGAACAACTCCATCCAGGATGCTTAGGTTAAATTTGGCATGTTTTTTTTCTAACTAGTACCAGAATCTGGTGCGTACATAGTTTATATGTATTTTACATTATAGTGCACAATGTGCACAATATGAACAAGACTATATGCAATAATTCTGCCTTCATGTGATGTGTCAAACAGATTGACAACGAAACAATAACCTATTCCAACGTGATAAAAGTGGCTGCTTCTGGTTACATAATTAAGAGGGAAAAGGATCTTAACTTGCACATCAACTGCAAAATGCTTCAGAACACCTGGGTGCAAGTAATGTATATTGCCAATGACATTATTAACGTCAGTGAAACTCAGTATGGCAGATACAACGTGAACATTTCATTCTACAATTCGTCCTCTTTCCTGTGGCCAGTGTATGACTCTCCATACTATGTTGACCTGAACCAGAATTTGTTCCTTCAAGCTTCCCTTCAAAGTTCTGACCCAAATCTGGTGTTGTTTCTGGACACATGTGTGGCATCACCTAATCCTAATGATTTTACGACTCTGACCTATGATTTAATCAGAAGAGGGTAAGAACTTTATTAATGATGGTTTAAAACTTTTTTTTTAATGCATGGTTCTCAGAGTGCTTCATTTCTGAAAGAGATAAATTAGGGCCAATGTACATTCTCAGTATGTATGTAGTTTTAAGAAAGTTGCTTTGGAGAAAAATCTTGCTTAAAATAACTATGACAATAGAAAAGCCATTCAGAACTTGAAGTCAAGCACCAAGGTTTCATCCAAGGAGGCGGTGTAAAGACTGAGAAATAAATTTCTGACATAGATAGATGATGCTCTGAACTGTTAGGGAGTCTACTTTTCCGTACCTTAGGATTAGTGTTTTGCAAGTATTTTCATGAAGCACCAGTACTGGAGTACAAAATATTCTGTTCAAAAAGAAGGTCAGATCCTTAGCATTTTCTTGCTATTCTGAAAGCCTAAAATGTTTTGATTGAATAAAAATGTGCCATTTCATCTGAAATGAAACTGTTCTTGAATTCTTGCAAGGCATGCAAAAGTGACAGGAGATAGCAACACAATCATGTAGCTATAGCCCTTTTTTTCCAGTAATGGAAGGTCCATTTTAATTTATCTTCTGGCTGTGCTTGGTAAGATTTGAAGCTCTCTGCCTCCTGCAAGAGAGTCCACGTAATTTACATTAGCAAGATAGGAGTGTAGGAACCTCACCACTAGACTGGAAGGTTTTTGCTTGTGTCACACTAAAGAACTGAAGCAATTTCTCCTTGGCAGATGAATGTCTTCCCAGAACTACTAGTGATTTACAGTTAATCCTGCTTACAAGTACTTTGCTGTGTTATGGAATTTCAGTGTTGTGCACTTTGCTTTGGTACAAATTGCTACCAGTATTTCTTTTTGTCTCTTATGTTTTCTTACTAAAAACACACATTTTTATAGCCTTTAGCGTTCTTGTATACACTACCTTGTTTTATGTTTGAACCTAAGGCTGCACATACATAGATACTGTAATAGTATTTCTATTCATGATACCTAACTTATGAATTTTATATGTTTCCAGGTGTGTTAAAGATCCCACCTTCTACTCTTACAACTCACCATACAGATACATCTCTCGCTTTACATTTAGTGCCTTTGAGTTTGTAAGGCAGCATCCATCAGTTTACCTGCAGTGTGAACTGGTGGTGTGCAGGTATGGGGACTACTCTTCCCGATGCTATCAAGGCTGTGTGAGTAGGTTCAAGAGGAACGTAGAAACTCCCGATGAAAAAGTGAATGTTGTTATTGGACCTATTCAGCTTTGGGAAGCAAACGCTGAGAACAGGAAAGCTAGTAAGTTTAAATAATTTCCTCTTGGATTTAATGTACAATACTGTATATTACTGTGATGGAAGATCTGTATATTACCATGCGTTTGCATGACAGTTTAGATATGAAATCTAGCTCTGATACATGCTTTTTCTGGTTTATTCACATCTCCACTATAATCCTTATAGCGAGTTGTTTTTTAGGTAATGATGTTTACAAGCTATTTCCTTTCTGTCATATTTTAGAACCATTATTTTCATCTTCATTTGTCTATGGCAATCAATCGAGTTCTGTAGGAAAAGAGATGTAACCTACCTCCCTGCAGGAACTATAATAACTTTTCAAAGCTGGCTGTGCATGATTTGTATGTCTTCTATCTATAAATGACCAATTTCTAGGTCCTCTTGAGAATGTCCTATAGCTGGTGTTACTACTGCCAGAAAACAGCATTGAATGGTCTTAGTGTGTAATCACTGTTAGTTGCTGTTTATTTTCTTGCTTTCTTGGCTATTTTCTACACTTGTTTTACATACCTACAGAATCATTTGTAAAACCATGTCCTGTAGAGCAGTTTATTCTCTGATCAAATCTACATTGCAACAATGTAATTCAGTGTCGCAATACTGATATTTTTGGGGAATAGCTAGATGGAGAAGCAAGCACAAACAACTCTCTCTCTCTCTCTCTCTCTGTGCACAGAGCTGGACTCTGACCTCCATGAGAACAGGGCATCTCTGGGTGCCACCCCTGTGTCCACTGCCGGGTCTCCTGCTCCGCTTGCTCTGGCCACCGTGGCTCTGGTGGCAGCTGCTGTCCTCGCCGTGGGTGGGTTTCTGCTGAGGCGTAAGCTGAAGGAGCCCATTCCCTACCAGATCATGTGAGAGGTGGGAAAGCACCTGCAGCTGCTTGAGGCTGAGGTTTTTTGCCAGTCATTTTTGGTTGTGCCACTTCAGGATTTGGATTTGTAATGTGTGCTCCCAATGACAACAGCAGCACTTAGTCACTGTTTTACGAATGCGTTGCAACAAAATACCACCCTCTGTTAGAATGAACTGAATTTATAAAGAGTCTGGCTTTAAAGTCTCTCAGTCCAAATACGTATCCAGGCTAAGGAAAGTTTGATTCTCCCATCCCAAAATCCAAATAAGCTGCTATCTTCTGCTATCTTCAATGCTGTAATTTCACAGCAGTTCAGTTAAGTTCCCACTTTGAATATCCATCTGAGGAGACTGACTGACTTCCCTGACTGAAGAAAGAACTGATTTCTTTTGATACTATGCAGATGAAACACCTGTGTGGCACCAAGAACTGTTCCAGAGAGTAGTCCAAGGAAAATATTTTGTTTGGATGAAAATAATCCCAATAATCAGCTGCAAACAGAAATACACAGGGTTGCACATGTACTCCTGAACAATGTTTCTCCTTTTTTTTTTTTGTTGGTGAGCATGGTTCTTCATATTTTGTGTTTTTATGAGAAAATATAGGCCATTTATAAGCTTTTGTATAAAGGATGAAATTTTGAATATAATCAAATCTGTTACATAAAAGTTTAATTAAAAAGCAGGAAAGGAAATATTTACAGAGTGGTAGTTCTTTTTGTGCATTTGCAAATTTGCCTGCTTATCTAAACTCCAAGCTAGCGCTTTATCACGATGGAGAATATGGTTTGTGACAGAGAAATTTAGCCAAAGAATGATTTGTGTCTTGCTTTTACACATTTCTAAACCTGCAATGTGGGGAAAAACACAGCGAATGTTCAGAGACTACCATGGCAAAGTGTGAGCCGTCTCTTTCTCCCATGAGAAAAAATGAAAAGCAACAACAGCAAATGTTCAGAGACTACCACGGCAAAGTGTGAGCTGTCTCTCCCATGAGAAAAAATGAAAAGCAACAAGAACAAAAAAATATTTGGAAGAACCTACCTGCTCAGGAGGAAAGGTCACTGGTGTTTGATTGACAAGCTGTCCTTAGACTTTCCTCTTTTCTGGCCAGCTGTGAGAGAAGGAAGCTGGGGGAACAATAGAAGTCACTGTGTGCTGGAGATACCTCTACGGAACGTGAGCTGAGCTTCTGGGCTCCATCCTGGCCTGGCAAGGAGGATGTGGGAAGCTCTGACGGAATAAGTGTGACCGGCCTGCACTCTGTCCTCCTGTGAGCTGTCATTTCCAGGGGACCCCAAGCAGGCCTTCTGTCCTGTGCAGGCTGTGGAGAAGGGGCCATGTGAGAAGGGATTGGTATTGCTCTCAGGGAATGGTAAAGAGCATTTGTGCCCACAGCTGGGGAGGAAAGATTGAGAAGGGTCCTCAGCTCCACTCAGCCAACCAACACACATCGGTACAAGAGGCACATACGTCTTTCATCTAGTCCTCTACTGTGGGTCAGAGATTGTCCAGGTTTGAGGGAGTCCAGCTGCTTGCTCAGCACAGTGAGCACAGTGGATACTTCCAGAGATGTGTCTCGCCAGAGCAAGCACTTTCCTGACGGTGTTTCAGGAGTGCAAATCTGTTATTTTCACTCCTCTACCAATGCTGCATTGGCCTTGCTCCTGCAGGTATGATGCTCCACCATTTTCCAGGTCATAGCGTGATGCCACTCTTTCTACTCCTCCTGGTGCCCTAGTATCTTTGTAACCAGGCTAGCAGAAAGATCCCATGCCTAGGACCTGGATGCTACCAGTCTGCAGAGAGCTTGTACTGCTCAGAGCTGAGCCTTCCCAAGCCACATCTGTGCTGGAGTCTCAGATGGGGAAGCAACAAGGTTATATGGAAGGCAAGGCAGAAATACCAAGCCACGTTACATGTTGCTGAACTGCCCAAGAGTTTGGCACCTCAGTCATCCTTCTTATTCCTCTCCCACCTTCCTTGATCCATGAGTATTCCACAAGTGCAGGATTCAAGAAAGCTGGATTTGATAATGAAGGATTTAAGTCAAGAGTGCGGCATGAATGGGCCCTTTGCCAAAAATCATCCTTCCCACCTCATGTCCCACCAAATTCAGGAAAGCTGCTAGCAGTAAATCCAGTGGATTTGACTCTTGGCTGTCAATAGTTCTGATTCACTGGCTTTCTCACCATTAAACAAAGACAAATGGAAATGATGTTTCATGTAGTATAGGCAACAGATCCCATAAGCAGATTGAGAAACTCAATAAATCAGACCAATCCACCTCATATCACTTTAAACACTGGCATTCAAACTATCATTCCTTTCCACAGAAGTTTGTGTGTAGTCACATTCCCATGTAGATATTTTCTTATGGTCAAGGATAAAAATTGATTAACATTCTGTGCACTTTTAATGATTTTTCTTTGAATCTCACAAAAGCCAGTATGCCTGCAGAAATCTCCTATAAATAATCAGCAATACAGGAATTGCTTTCAAAGCCCAGTGGAGCTTATTTCGCAGGGTAATGTGTTGAGAAACAATTCAAGATGCCAGAAAAAGTTCTAGGGAGAAACGCACGATCACAAGAGGTCTAACCACTGCGAAGGATGAAAATATGTTCTGCATGATAATTGCATTAATTAATTAATGCAAAGTAACCTGAACATAACATTAATATCTGCTCTTACTATGCAGAGATTTTCTGATAATCACAGTCTCTGAAAACATGGATCTCTGAAGTGTGTCGTGAAGAACAGAATTAATCAGTGTTATTAATTCACCCAGCCGGCTTAGTGGCATTTTTTTTCACTTGAATGGTTAAGAGTTTGTGAGTCACTTTTGTGCCCACCCCTCCTCCTTTTTCAATTTCTACAAGAGTTTGGAAAAGAGTTGTTATCTGTCACTTATTCCGCTTATTCTTGCTTCATTGATTATAGTGTGTGATTGATCAGTCAAATATACTGGATTTTTGCTGCCTCTTGCCAAGATGTCAAAACCAATAGAATATGAATAGTGAATACCAGGTATTTTTTTCATGCATAAATTTCCTCGTTCATGTGCGAATGTGATTGTTTGTCTAAAGAAGAAACATATTTGCCCTTCTCAGTCCTCGCTTTCAAGGCTTCCAACTCTGTTGTTGGCCTCTTGTGTTTTGCACTTCCTTCTTCCACTCCAATAATGCTGACCTTTATAGAAAGAAGTCATCCTCTTTATCCCTTGGACTTTAATCTTTGTCCTTGAGATCTGGCCCTGCATACAATAAATTTGTATATGGAAAGAATTGTGCAACGTATTTTAAGTTCTGATAAGGTCATCAAAACTGCAATGGCTAGACAGCTGGGAATCAGGTGGATAGCAATACCCTTGCCCTTCGGTTTTAGGATGAAGTGATGGTCATCGGCCTTGTCTCATAAAATGGTAACTGCACAGAAACACAGGAAAGCAGACACCCTTACAAGAGCGTGATGAATGACAATTAAATATTATTTCATGCTGTGGAAACGCTTCAGATTTGGTTTTCAAGCTATAATTGTCACTGTAAAAAATTAAATAAGGAATATATTACAAGAGATTCTAAGTAGAAAGGCAACACTTATTTGATGGTTCAAAGAACAAAAGAAAATGTTTGAACAATGCTAAGCTGTAACACATGTGATTTACGTAACTATGCATAAAATCCAGAGACTTTTCTGTACCATGTGATCCTGTGCCACATGCTCTAGG